TCGAGAGAGCTTCCTGGAAAAGCGTTAATCCCAAGCAGTTCCACTCCATAATTATTTAAGAGAACAGTCAGAAAAGTGAAAAGTATGTCTGACAATGAGACAACTTCATGTTCACTGAGAAAAAAGTACTTTAGGTAATATATAACAAAGCAATTAAACAGTTAAGATGTGATGTCTATTCACTATGAAGAATAACATTTTAAAAACTATAGATAAAACCAGAGGTAGCAAAGTTTTAGGCTATTATAGGTAAGCACTCAGTTATTATACTTTGATAGAGGCCCTCAAAACAGAATGAAAACTACACCCTAATATATTCTACTGCTACTTTCTATAGTTCTGCTTGCCAAGATCTGAAATGGCCCCCAGAGCAGACCCTGGAGTTTGCAGGATGGCAGCAGGTTACAGAGAGAAGGCCTGGACACAGTCCTCTCTATTGCATAACCAATAACGTCAACAACATGTGGTTTCTCAGCTCCCAGCCTCTCTAGTGCCTGGGGACTAACAATAGCAGGCACTGATGCTTTGAAGGGCCATCCCGCTATCTTCTCAAAGTGACCCACACACACATTAGGCAGGGTGAGACAACAAAGTCTGCAGGATATATTTTGATTGCTCTGATTCCCATGACTTCAGATCAATGAAGGATTCCTTTATACCATTAAAAATTCATATTTTTATCCTGTTTGTGTGTCTGAAGCAACCACTCACTGACATGTGAAACTAAAGCAAATGCACAGAGTCTGGAACGACTCCAGGTAATGCCATCTTTCTCAGTGTTGCCTAATAACACTCTGTGGTTATGGCACAAAATAAGTAATGTATGGTGTACTGGTCTGAAGAAGTATTTTTCTGTTTCTTTTTTTAACTTTTAAGTTCAGGGGTATGAGTGCAGGTTTGTTACACAGGTAAACTTGTGTCATGGGGGTTTGTTGTACAGGTTATTTCATTATCCAGGTATTAAAGCTACTACCAATTAGTTATTTTTCCTGATCTTCTCCTTCCTCCCATCCTTCACCCTCCAAAAGGCCACAGTGTGTGCTGTTCTCCTCTACATGTCTATGTGTTCACATCATTTAGCTCCCACTTGTAAGTGAGAACATGCGGTATGCGGTTTTTGATTCCTGTGTTAGTTTGCTAAGGGTAATGGCCTCCAGCTCCATCCATGTCCCTATAAAGGACATGATCTTGTTCTTTTTTTTTTTTTTTTTAGATGGAGTTTCGCTGTTGTTGTGCAGGCTGGAGTGCAATGGTGCAATCTCGGCTCACTGCAACCTCTACCTTCTGGCTTCAGATCTTGTTCTTTTTCATGGCTGCAAGGTATTCCGTGATGTATATTGCTTTTGTGGGGGGAGTTCTTCTTCCTCTTTTCTTTTTAAAACAAATATTTGCTCTAAAATAACACTCGCCTTACAAAATACAAGTACTCAGTTACTAAAAATTAATGCTTTGGGATAACAAAAGAATTTCTTCTTGTCTTCATCACACATAGCTATAATAACGATCTGTTTTTTGTAGACTAGGATTGTTGTCCCAAAGCATTAATTTTTAATAATTGGGTAGCTGTGTTTTGTAAGGCAAGTGTTATTTTAGAGCAAATATTTGTGTCTTTTTTTTTTAAAGAACACCCCCCCCACCAACAAAAAACCCCAAATAGTACATTGGATGAGGGAATAAAATGGCTGCTTAAGAACCATCTTTCAGTATCTGCAAAGGGTGTGAAGGTGAGGGCCAAGGGATTCTTCTTGGTTTTTGGAGCCAGGTCCATTCTTGCTGTGACAGCAGAGGAGCAGGAAGTGCCATGATACTCAGAGCATTTGAAAGGAAAGGAAAAAGTGTAAAGGAAGGAATTAACACCAGCCTTATGGCTTAAGACATCTAATAACACACAGCACTGCTGAATCCAGAATTTTAGTAACACTGAAAATTGTTTTTCACATCACAAGTTTTAACTCCAAGTTGTTGGGATGATGCTTTCTCTAAGTTCAACCCAGCACCTTTGTCTAAATAAGAGTAGTATGGCTGTCTGCCAAACTGTGAAGCTTGAGAATAAGAGGAAGTTCAGAGAAGCATAATGGCAGGAACTGCTTCTATTACACTTGCAAGTTCCTTGGAACCACAGGGATCAGTAATCTGGCTGCTACCTTGACCACCGGCAGAGAAAAGGTAATGATAGAGGGTTCTGGGTATGTGGTCACATGAGGGCAAGCACAGAGGAGGTGATGGCGAAGGCCTAGCTGGGAGAGGCAGTGTACACTTAACACCAGGAATCCTCACCAATGACTGCCAGTAAGATGTCATAACTGTACCTTTACCTAGTTAGAATTTTTCTCTTTGAAACATTGTTTCTGGCTTCTAAAACAATCTACATATATGTAAAAATAGTGAAAAGCTCCAGGAAAGTACAGAAAAAAATAATAATTACTCATAAACTATCCCCAAAGATAATCATCAACATTTTGATGTGCTTTTTTTTTTTTTTTAAACACACTTTAAAATCAACATTTGTATTCTATGGTATAAAATATTTTATAATATGATGTTTTTTCACTTGGTAATAGTTACATTAAATAATCCAGACATAATAAAAGCTTACTGAAGCCCTTCTTCCATGCCCAAGACCACTTTTTTTTTGTCTTTTTTCTTTAAAAACTAGTCTATTTTTCATTTTTTATTTTTATTTTTTGATTTTTAATTTTTATTTGTTTTAGGGGACAGTTCTCCAAAAAAGAGAAGAGAAAAGGTAATGGGAGAAGGGACTAGGTATGTGGTCACATAGTGGCAGCCCCGAGGAGGTGACGGGGAAGGCTTAGTCCACTCCTCCAAGTCCACTTGTATGTTCAAAGGATGGAAAGATCACTTTTGGTTTTTGGTAATCTCAAAGACTTCTTGAACATGTGGTCACATGAGTGAGACCTTTAAGAGTGCTGGAATTTTTGAGATGTACACATGAAGGAGGCATATATTTTAGGTTAACAAAAAAGAACCAATACATTTGTGAAGGTGGAGAGACCTAAGGGAACACATAAACTTGTCAACACACAGGGAGTACTGGGAAGTAACAAAGGGTTTGATTGTCGCGCTGAGGGCTGTGAAGAGAGAGAGGAATAACAAGAAGCAGGAAGTAAAGAAGAAGGACGAGGGCCTTTGGAGTTGGTAACTGGGTCATCAGTGGTAACTATGGAGGAAGGGTAACTTTCCAATTCTGTTGGTGGGGGCAAAAGCAAGGAAAGAGAGGTTTGCAAAGACTTCTTATACCAAGAAATTAGGCTATGAAAAGAACAGAGCAGTAGCACTGACTGGGGTTATCAGAGTCAGTAGCAAGTTTTTTTTCCAAGACAGCAAACCAGGAACTCTTGGAGCTAGACACATCTCCTCTGAGACAGGAGAAAATAAGACAAGTATTGAAGTACAGAGAAAGAAAGATGAAGGTACTCATTCTCAATGATTTTTTTCTTGAGACAGGGTCTCACTCTGTCATTCAGGCTGGAGTGCAGTGGCATGATCTCGGCTTACTGCAGCTTCCATCCCTCCTGGGCTCAAGCAATTCTCCCATCTTAGCCTCCAGAGTAACTGGGGCTATAGGCTTCTACCACCACACCTGGCTAATTTTGTTTATTTTTTTGTAGAGACGAGGTCTTGCTATATCGAATAAGTTGGTCTCAAATTTCTGGACTCGAGTGATCCTCCCACCTCAGCCTCCCAAAGTTCTGGGATTACAGGTGTGAGCCACTGCAGCCAGCTTCAATGATCTTAATTTTCTTAATAAAGAGGAGAGATCATCTGCTGACAGAGTAGAGAGGTGGTAGGGACTTGGAGGGAAATCAATAAGGGGAATGGACTTGGACCACAGAGAGCACTGGGGTCCAGTTCAGTCTAGAGAGCATGACTTTGCAGTTGGGCAGGTCAATGGAGTCATACAATCTTCCCCAGAACACTTTGAGTCCTAAGGGCACCATCTCTATGGTGGAGGCATTAAGGGATGGGTCCTGGTTGAAGGTCATGCAAGAGTAGGTATGTCTGTGAGAACAATAGTCAGTAGTTGACCTTTGTAAATGGGTTGGCCAGGTAATGGGAAAAGAATTGCAAGGACTTAACAGATTGGGTGGGGTGGGATGGGAGATGAAATGCTTCAAAATAATGAAGTATGGGTACCTTAGAGGTGTTATTTCAGGAGGAAGATGGGGAGGGAATGGTGATCTAAATCACATCAATGTATTTCAATACATATGTGTAAGGTACTATGCAATCTAGAAAAAACATTTGGAGAACAAATCAATTGGTTGAAATAAGCACAGAGAGCCTGATTTTGATAATTTGTTCTTCTAATTTCTGAATCAAACAATTTAAAAACATACACTGGAAAATGCATCAGCCTTGGAAATAATCTGACGGATGAGCCTTCAGTGAGAATGGAGATTGGGGGCTATAAATCAGGAAGATTTGTCTGGCAGCTACCTGGCAGTCAATTCACTGCACACGGAAAGTAATGGCTCAGGTTAATCAAGCAACTTTGTGACAAAGGTCACAAACTATGTAGTGGGTGGGGCATGCCAGCCACAGAAAAAGGGCGTCTCCCACAGAGAGTGCACAAAGTGTGTAGAGGATATCAAAACACAGGGAAACCATTTACATCAGGAAGGAGTTTACCTTTCTGTCCCAACCTCCTATAAAACAAAAACATTGTACGGTACATGTCAAAACTAGCAGCTATAGATTCTCAAAACCATAAACAAAGCTTTGAATTTTTAATTATGTAATATATTGGAATGTTAACAAGCAAGAAAATATGCTACTTTTTCTTTTTAAGCTGTAGAATTAATCACTTATATACTGCAACTTAATGATGTACGATGATTTGAAAGATGCAAGGCCTCAGAGGTAAAAGCTGTTACCAAGCCTCTTACAGTAAAATCTAGGTATGATCAACATTTTACACTAGGAGTTAAAGGGGAAGGAGCAATCACAAAATTAATAAAAGGAGAAAAATAATACTATACCTCTGGATTCATTATCCCTTCTTTTTTAAAACAGCTGTAAAACATGTCTATGGAAAATACTTCACTCCAAAGATATCCATAATATTGGCCATCGTATCCCCCTGCCAAATGTCCAAAAGTAGCTGGCATATTTGTGCCTTTAAAAAAAGATACATTTCACTCAATGTGATTGCAAACGGTAATGATCAGGTTAACAGCTAGCTAAGGTTTCCCTTTGGGGAGCCCAGCTGTGGGAGGAGAGAATGAATGATATCATCTCACCTCTAGTACTCCTTGGGCTTATGTGTCCTCTTGGCCAAGATGTTTATAAACATCTCTCAATGGCTCAGCCTCAGAGCTGGTTTCGGCTCCAAGCTCTGGAATGCCTAACGACAGTTTCAGCGGCTTTGTCCACACCCATCAGATAGCTCAGTGTTTTAGAACTGAAATCAGTCCTTTCTTATCCCTTAAACACGTATGTCTTGAAAAATAATATTAACCCTACTCTTTGCCACACCTCTTTATATCTAAAATGTCTCAGAGTTGCACTTATTTTAGGTTGATAATTACTGAAAAAGAACTTTTTTTTTTTGAGACAGTCTCGCTCTGTCGCCCAAGCTGGAGTACAGTGGTGAGATCTTGGCTCAATGCAACCTCAGCATCCCAGGTTTAAGGGATTCTCCTGCCTCAGCCTCCTGAGTAGCTGGGGTTACAGGTACATGCCACCACGCTGGCTAATTTTTGTATTTTTAGTGGAGACAGGGTTTCACCACTTTGGTCAGGCTGGTCTCGAAATTCTGACCTCAAGTGATCTGCCCACCCTGGCCTCCCAAAGTGTTGGGATTACAGGCTTGAGCCACCGTGCCTAGCCTGAAAAAGAACTCTTCACCAATTCGATCTACCTGTAGGGCTACTTTATATAGGATTTTATCAAAAATCCTGAGCTCAAGTGATCTTCCCGCCTCGGCCTCCCGAAGTGCTGGGATTACAGGCGTGAGCCACCATGCCAGGCCTAAAAATGCCCCTTCTTGATAGCATAACAAGATGACTAATAGTCAATAATAATTTAATTGTACATTTAAAAACGTACTTGCTACACAAAGGCTTGTGACACAAAGGTGCGCTATGGTTTACTATGTGGGGAGCCTAGAATGACTCAACTGACCATTCTTATCTTTATTTTCTCTGTAAATGTGGCTGCCTCATTTTAATAACAATTTCCTTAGTGAAAAAAAATCCACCTTACCAACTACACATAAAAGCACAACTATATATTGGCTTAAAACATATACATACAAATATAAACACGCCCATGCATGAGTCCCATAAATCTCAGGTTACAAACTGCTAGTCAAATGCTTTAACTGACCTCAGTATCAGAAACAAGGTGAAGTTCATACTTCTCCTGCAAAATACCCTTTATTTTTTTTGAGACAGGGTCTCACTGTGTCACCCAGGCTGGAGTGCAGTGGTGCGATCATGGCTCGCTGCAGGCTTAACCTCCCCAGGCTCAGGTGATCCTCTCAACTCGGCCTCCCGGGTAGCTAGGACTATAGGCATACACCACCACACCTGGCTAATTTTTGTATTTTTTGTAGAGACGGGTTTTGCCTTTATTGCCTAGGCTGGTCTCGAACTCCTGAGCTCAAGTGATCTTCCCGCCTCAGCCTCCCCAAGTGCGGGATTACAGGCATGAGCCACCATGCTAGGCCTAAAAATGTCCCTTCTTGATAGCGTAACAGGATGACTACAGTCAATAATTTAATTGTACATTTAAAAATAACTAAAAGAGTTTAAGTGGATTGTATGTAACACAAAGGATAAATGCTTGAGGGGATGGAAAAAATAAACAAAATACTATATGCAAAGAAAAAAAAAATTAAAAAACTTCCCCTTCTGCCAATTTCTTCCTGAAAATCACAGGGAAGTCATGATGCATACAGGGAGGGAGGAGCTGACAGTGTGCTGCCAACATGAACGGCTCTCCCAGCTCTGGGGCGGAGGCCAACTGCTCACGCCTGATTACACTAAAATGCTCCAGATCTGGAGCCACCTTTCCTTCAAGCGCATTTGGACGGGATAACTCATAAGGACATAGTATGCTTATCTGAAAGTCATGGCCTGATTACAGAAATCAGAAACAATTAGGTAATCTGTCTGACAAACTCCATCTCCCCTGCCGTGTGAGGAGAATGCCCTGTGCTTCACAGGGGAATGAACTCAATTCGTAGTAGTTACATACCTGGAGTAGCTGCAACTCCTAATATTTCTGAGCAGTATTTGGCATATTCACTTGCAGCATCCAGTGATGTGCTGGTATGAAGAGACTGATCAACTTTGCTCAAAACAATCTGGCGCAGGGTCAGAAGACCTAATAACATAAGAATGTTTGGGCATGTTTTGGAGAAGACAGAACTGTGTGTTCTATTATCACAAGACTGTAGATTCCAAAAACAGATTCCAGTAGTACTCACAAAATGGGAGCAGGACATCTCATTCTACTTAAGATTTAAAAGGAGATGTGGTTTTTTGCCTTAGACAAAATTCCAGGGTTTCCAACTCCAATATATTTAATGTTCGTCACTCCCTATACTAGCAGTTGGGATACCATTCAAAATGAAAATAAGTTCTACAGAAGGAGGTGACAGCAATTCTGCATTAAGAGATTCTAATTTATTTTCCTTTTTAAAATTATAAGTCATACCTGTGTTGACCAGTCTAGAAGCAACAAGTTTTTCAAGCAGATCATCTGAAATAGGGCTTCCGTCTTTATAATGTTTTGATAATCTTCGGAGGGAATCGATGTCCCACACCCAATTTTCAAGCATTTGCGATGGCACCTCTACAAAGTCAGTTTCTACATTTGTTCCGCTAAATCGTGCAAAATCAGTCTAGAAAGCAAACAGAGAATTTTTTAAAAGAACTGAATGAAAAGTACATATGCAATGAATAATTATTAAGAGTCATGAAAACTTAAGGCAGGATTGGACTCAACTGTCCCTTTGAATGCAAGGGGTTAGAATAACCTCATAGTCAAGTGAAAATAAAATACAGCAGCTGAGCAGTGTGAAAAATAACCCCCAAATACTCTATATTACAGTAATAATTTCATTCCTTTGAACTGTAGACAAAGTTGGAACAATCATCAGAAAATCATAACTGAAAAATACTATCAGTCTAAGCTAAAAACAAGCCTTAAGCTTTGAAAGCAAAAATATTTTTAAAGAATTTTCCATTAAAAATGAAGAGATCCATTAAACAAGCAATTTCTCCCTAGCTCCTCCTTTCAATTGCTTACTTTTGTTTACTCAATCCATGCCTTTCTGGGCACTCATCACTCTGTTGCTTAACTACTTAGGTTTTAACCAAAATTAATTAAACAGTTCAATCACAGCACTATAGACTTTGAGTGTGCGATGCTTTGCATTTTAAACTTTAAACGAGTGGTTCTAAGATTACCATGTTGTAGAAACTCAGATTTCTACCTCTCAGATCAGGTAGACAATGTTACCTTAAAATAAGAAGCTGCTTTAGTAGGAGTTAGGTTTGTAAATTAATTGGCAAGTGGAGTGAGTTATATGCTATAGGAAAAGAGAAACAACGGATGTATTCAAAAGTTAGAGCACTCCTGGTAAAAATAAAGGACTTATTCTGAAGGCCTGAGCTAAGAGTTAAAAAAACAAGAGGTTTACAAAGAGTTTAATGAAACCAAGTTTAGTAAATTCTTGAGTCAGACGTCAGAAAAGCTCTCAAGCAGAAGAACGGAGATTCACTAAAACAGGCTAGTGTTTTTAACCTTCACACAGTCCTTCAAACACTCGTAAAACTGCCATTGGCAGAGAAGACTTAGCATTTATCCTACTGGGTCATCTGCAGAATGGGGCTCCTCATTCTGTTGTCTTTCCCTGAACCTCTGTCCTGTTTTTCTCCTCTGAAGCATTACATTCCAACCTTCTCTCCCTGACTTCATCATCCCTGGGGCTCCAAACAGAGGGGAAAGGGAAGAGGCATGTAACCACCAGAGAACGCAGCAGATGGGGTGCCGAATCAGCAGCAAATACCCACTCTGCTTTTTGGCCCAGGGCAGAGGCACAGATGTCAACGCCATCTCACATTCTGCCTTCCTCTCTTTATGCAAAAAAATGTTTTGCTTGATTTCTCATTATAATTGTGCCAATTCTAGATATGAAGAGATGCAAATATTAAAGGGGCAAGGATAAGTAAATTCACTGGTTGTGGAATTAGGCCACCTCTATTGAGGATATCCCAATAAAAAACTTCTTGCAGGGAAAGAGGTAAGGGTCCCCAGAAATTGAATATTTTGTCTCATTATGGTATATGATATTCTAAGATTACATCCTATATCATAAATAAAACAATCTTATGCAATAATAATAGCTAACATCTGTTGAGACTTTCCTATGTCAGGCATTACAGGCATACCTTAGAGATACTGTGGATTTAGTTCCAGACCACTGCAATGAAGTGAATATCACAATAAAGTGAGTCACACAAACTTTTTGATTTCCCATTGCAGATAAAAGTCTATAAATGTACATTATACTCTAGTCTATTAACTGTTCAAAAGAATTGTCTAAAAAACAGTGTACATGGCTGGGTGCAGTGACTCATGCCTGTAATCCCAGCACTCTGAGAGGCCAAGGTGGGTGGATCATCTGAGGTCAGAAGTTCAAGCCAGCCTGGCCAACATGATGAAACCCTGTCTCTACTAAAAATACAAAAATTAGCCAGCCATGGTGGCGGGCACCTGTAATCCCAGCTACTCAGGAGGCTGAGGCAGGAGAGTTGCTTGAACCTGGGAGGTGGAGGTTGCAGTGAGCCAAGATAGTACCACTGCATTCCAGCCTGGGTGACACAGTGAGACTGTTTCAAAAAAAGAAAAACAAACAAAACCAAAAACAACCCAAAATCAAAACCAAAAACACCCACAAAAACCTTGTATATACCTCACATGTTAAAAAATGCCAATGGTCATCTGAGCCTTCGGCAAGCTGTAATCTTTTTGCCGGTGGAGGGTCTTGCCTCCATCAATGTTGATGGCTGCTGACTGATCACGGTGGTAGTTACAATCAGGGTGCCAACTGATCAGGGTGGTAGTTATGGAAGGTTGGCATGGCTGTGGCAATTTCTTTTTTCTTTTTTTTTTTTTTGAGACAGGGTCTTGCTCTGTTGCCCAGGCTGGAGTGCAGTGGCACGATCTTGGCTCACTGTAACGTCCGCCTCCTGGGTTCAAGCGATCCTCCTGCCTTAGCCTCCCTAGTAGCTGGGACTACAGGTGGATGCCACCATGCCCAGCTACTTTTTGTACTTTTGGTAGAGATGGAGTTTCACCATGTTGGCCCGACTGGTCTTGAACTCCTGACCTGAGGTGATCCGCCCGCCTCGGCCTCCCAAAGTGCTGCGATTACAGGCGTGAGGCACCGCACCCAGCCGCCATTTCTTAAAATAAGACAAAGATGCAGTTTGCCATATCAATGGACTCTTCCTTTCATGAAAGATTTCTTGGTAGCATGCGATGCTGTTAGATAGCATTTCACCCACAATAGAATGTCTTTCAAAACGAGTCAAGTATCTTAATACCTGCCACTGCTTTACCAACTAAGTTTATGTAATATTCTAAATCCTTTGTGGTCATTTCATTGACATTCATAGCATCTTCACCAGGAGTAGACTGCATATCAAGAAGTCACTTTCGTTGCTCATCCTTAAGAAGCAACTCCTCATCTCTTTAAGTTTTATCATGAGATGGCAGCAATTCAGTCACATCTTCAGGTTCTACTTCTAATTTTAGTTGTCCTGCTGCTTCTACCATATCTGCAGTTCCTTCCTCCACTGAGGTCTTGAATCCCTTCCTCAAAGTCATCTATGAGGGTTGAAATCAATTTCTTCCAAATTTCTGTTAATGTTGAAATTTTGATCTCTTCCCATGAATCATGCACGTTCTTAACGGCATTTGGAATGGTGAATCCTTTCCAGAAGGTTGTCAATATACTTTGCCCAGATCCCTCAGATAAATTACTATCTATGGCAGCTGTAGTCTTATGAAATGCATTTCTTGTATAATAAGACTTGAAAGTTGAAATTACTCCTTGATCCATGGGCAGCAGAATGGCTGTTCTGTTAGCAGGCATGAAAACAACATCATCTCCTTGAACATCTCCATCCAAGCTCTTGTGTAACCAGGTACTTTGTCAAGGAGCAGTAATATTTTGAAAGGAATCTTTTGTTTTTGAGCAGTAGATCTCAACAGTGGCTTAAAATAGTCAGTAAGCCATCCTGTAAACAGATGTGTTGTCATCCAGGCTTTGTGGTTTCATTTACAGGGCACAGGTAAAGCGGATTCAGCATAATTCTTAAGGACTCTAGAATTTTCAGAATGGTAAATAAGCATTGGCTTCAACTTCAAGTCACCAGTTGCATTAGCCCCTAAGAGGAGAGTCAGCCTGTCCTTTGAAGCCTTCAAGCCAGGCATTGACATCTCCTCTCTAGCATTCCTGAAAGTCCTAGACGGCATCTTCTTCCAATAGAAGGCTATTTCATCTACATGGAAAATCTGTCATTTAGTATAGCCACCTTCATCAATGATCTTAACTAGATCTTCTGGTTAACTTGCCACAGCTTCTAAATCAACAATTGCTGCTTCACCTTGCACTTTAATGCTATGGAAACAGCTTCTTTCTTTGAACCTCAGGAACCAACCTCTGCTACCTTCCACCTTTTCTTCTACAGTTTCGTCACTTCTCTCAGCCTTCATAGAATGGGAGTTAGGGTCTTGCTCTGGATTAGACTTTGGCTTAAGGGAATGTTGTAGCGGGTTACATCTTCTATCCAGACCACTGAAACTTTCTCCAATCAGCAACAAGTCTATTTTGCTTTCTTATTATTTGTGTGTTCACTGGAGTAGCACTTTTAATAACGTTCAAGAACTCTTCCTTTGTTTCATAACTTGACTGACTGGCACAAGAGGCCTATCTCATCTTTTGACATGCCTCCCTCATGAAGCTTGATCATTTCTAGCTTTTGATTTAAAGCAAAAGATTTATGACTCTTCCTTTCACTTGAACACTTATAGGTCATTGTAGGGTTATTGGCTAATCTAATTTCAACATTGTTGAGTCTCAGAGAATAGGAGGCCAAAGGAGGGGGTGAGAAATGGCTCGGTGGAGCAGTCAGTACCCATATAACATTCATCAATTGAGTTCGCTGTCTTATAAGAGCATGATTTGTGGCACCTCAAAACAATTACAATAGTAATATCAAAGATTGCTGGTCACAATAACAGATATAATAATAATGGAAAAGTCTGAAATACTGTGAGAATTACAAAAATGTGACATAGAGACATGAAGTTGAGCACATTCTGTTGGAAAAATAGCACTGACAGACTTGCCTGGGCAACATGGCAAGACCCTGTCTCTATGTAATAAAAAAGGAAATCACTGATCACAGATCACCGTAACAGATATAATAACAACGAAAAAGTTGTCCAGGTGTGGTAGCTCACATCTGTAATCCCAGCACTTTGGGAGGCCGAGGTAGGCAGGTTAGGCAGATCATTTGAGACAGGAGTTCAAGATCAGCTTGGTCCGCATGGTGAAACCCATGTCTACTAAAAACACACACACACACAAAAATTAGCTGGGAGTGGTGGTATGCACCTGTAATCCCAGCTACTTAGGAGGCTGAGACAGCAGATCACTTGAACCCGGGAGGCGGAGGTTGCAGTGAGCTGAAACTGTACCACTGGACTCCAACCTGGGAAACAGGGTGTGACTCCTTCAAAAACAAAGAAAAAAGTCTGAAATATTGTGAGAATCCCAAAATGTGAACAGAGACATGAAGTAAGCACATGCTGTTGGAAAAACAGCAC